CTGTTTGGAAAAGTTTAAAGAAATCTTCAAAGCTCAATGAGACAATTTGTAGATCACCCTCTTTAAACCCTATAGCAAGGCTTAATATACCATATGGCATTCGGGCAATTTACATAGAAAGCGGTGTGAGGGTGCGCATATTCAGGACTCGAACATCTAGACCAATTACCGGACCCGGCTTCATTTGACTTCCGAGCCTGCCTAGGATTGTGTAATTGGTGATTTTAATTTGAAGATCAATGTATGTATCACATGACCTAGCTACGTAACATACATACACAGGAGTATATTTCCCCAATTCCGACCTGGAGCGATCTTTATTTAGAGGAAATCTCGGCTTTAAGTCTTCATCTGATTCTTCCTTTAACTTGACTTTGAAAGAGCTTGGTTGGTTTATCAAGTGTAGTCGTCATCCATCCATTTCTTTGTGGTTAAACTTGAGTCTCCTTGTCAGTCTCTTCTACTTACTTTTCCTATCAACTTTCTTAGTTTCTACCTTTCATCTCCGACTTCCACTTTCATCTCCGCTTTCACTTTCATCCAACTCGATCTCGATCTCGATCCTGACACTCCATCGACTTTCCAACCCAAGTGACTCTTTAAAACGGTAAGTCTCATTGAACGGCCGAGCTGTAGAATTCTCTTTATGCCCCCTTTCCGCTGATCGATCAAACCACCTGTACCCACACTTGAACAAATGATGACTATGATGTCAAGGTCGAGGTTGGGTTTAGTCAATCTTCTACATATTTAATTATCCTTAGCATCTTGTATAAGTCATTGCACTGCTTTAAACCCCCTCTTCCAGGACCCTGGAAAGCGCCTGCTGAGGCGTCTGATGAAAAACCCGACATTACCGTGGTCACAAATATTTTTTTTGTCAAAACCCGACATGTTTCATCAGAAGCCTAATTTTTTATCTATGCTTAAGGGTAAAACCTGACATGTTTCATCAGAAGCCTCCCGGCCTCGAATCCGAAGAAAAAGCCCCGAGGCCCGGCAAAAAAGCCCCGGAAGCTGGGTCAGCCGTGCTCAGCTCAGCCAAACTGATGATGAGTCGAGGTAAGGAAGTCTAGGGCATGGATTTGAGGTGAATCACATGGAATATACGTTTGTATCCAATTTCAAAAGCATAGTAGAATATAAGAACAAGATTTAGTGTAACTGAAACGAAGAAAAAACAATCAAGCTTGATCATGTTCGTCAGCATTGGCCAATTGAAGTTGCCTTTCCTCAGAGAATCGATTGATCAATTCATCCATTTTGATTGATTGAAACATATCTCGAATGACTGATGGAACTGAATAGCATCCATCAGCCACGAGTGCAAAGTTTGAACCGTCTGATGGCTTAAACACGTAGATGATATCACTTGCGTCAAGGAGACTGAAAGTCCAGGATGAAGACGATTCGCAGCAGGCCATAGCCACAGGCAGATTTGGCCTATAAGTCAAAACCTGCACACCCACATGTGAAAGCTTTTTCCTTGAAGTGGAACTAGTCACAAAAGCGTGCTTCTTTGAAATGTATTCATACACGATCACAGTCCGACAGAGAAGCATTGTCTTAACAAGAAAATTGATTAGCTTCTTAATCAATACATAGCGAAGCCGCATGAAAAATTGACTTACTTGATTTTTGATGGCTAAGACAAATTTTCCAGGCTCGATGGGGTTTTCAGCTGTGATGAAACCTCCATCAAAGAGCTGTTGCAGGTTGATTTCTCGGTGGTGTGAAGCGTTTGTTATGGCACCAGCCAAATTGATCTTGATTTGTATATTCCAGCGATGTCTGCGAGCAGCACCAGTTGGTGTACTGACAAGACTCTTCATATACACCGCAATTGCCTTTGAACACATACTCGGATTCAAATCACCTTTTTTAGTTTTTTCGATGCTTTCACCCGAGTCATCTGGTCTGATGACCAGTCGCTCATTTCCCTTATGCCGAGCAACCTGACTGTCATGCATAGTTCTAATGTGAACTAGATTGGGGCCACAGAGTTCGCCTTCTTCAATCAACAGCCAGCGGTCGTCGTTGACCTTATATTTAGTTGAATCAGGACGGAGCGGTGGATCTGGCCAAGATGAGATTGACTGTAAGTTTGGTATGATCGCAGCATCATAATGTAATGAAGACTTTACTTACCAGTTGGATTTAGTAAGCTATCAATTGAAATCGCCACATTTGCAATCACATCCGGGTCAAGCTCATCAGGAACTTGGTTCAGTAAAAGGTCAAGATCATTTTGCTCCTTCGCTAACATAGCCGCTTCCGAAAAGGCAACATCTTCGGGCCAGTCTCCAGACTTCGCACTATATTTGACCCGATAGTCCTTGGTTGCACATACTGATACATCTGAATGTTGTTCTTGATTAGCAATGACTAAGCCATTCAGATGGTTAGTTTCAAAATTACAAACCTGGAGTATCATCCTCGATAGGGGATTGGATCCCCTCAAACACACTATCAATGTCCACCACTTCGTCTTCTAATTCAGGAGGACCCATTCCAGCAAATTCTGCCAAGCTATTAGCGATTTTGTTGGCAATAGTGAGTTCCTTTGAAATTTCAGCATTTGTCGGCCATGTTCGGAGGAGTTGAAAGTTTTGGACTTCTTCTTCGTCGTCAAATGCGTATTGGTAACCAGAATGCAAGTGCTCGGATGGTGGTATCTTTATTCGGCCACTCATGGCACTTTTAACTACAGCATGGATTTTTGGCATCATGAATCGAGCATCGAGGACTGAGAAACGAGGTGAGATTATTCGCATCCAACCGAAAATATGTTCGCAAGCTTCTGTACCATGCTTCCAAGGGAACAGAGGATATTCGGGATAGTATTCACGATGAGCTATTATCAAAGCCAGAAGGGAGCTAGGAAGAGTCGAAAAAATCTTGAAGCTCGGGTGTGAGATGCAATTCTGATGAAAACTCATTACACCATTTGTTTCTTTCTCGCGTTTTTGAAGGTAAGCTTTCCAACGTCGCAGGAAAAAGCCTGCAGTCCAAGCAGATCTGATACGTTCATGATGACCTATTTTCTTGTTCAACCATGAATCAATCAATTCGCCAACCACATATAGGTATATGGTTAACCCAGTATTGGTTTCGAGACGAAGTGATGCGGCTAGAGTTGGAGCACAGAAAGTTCGGAGAGCACGGCCGTCATCTTGTTTGTCTGAATCGAAGACATCCTTGGCGTGAAGTGGAGAATCGGGCATTTTAAGTATTTCAGCAAGTTGTTGAATAGTCACAGTGTAATTTCCAATAACCATCAACCGAGCACCTGAGAGTAATTGGTTCGCTCCAGTTTTTCGTGCGTGCTTGGGGTCCTGAATTGTTATAATCGGTCGTAGTGTAGTTCCAAAAAGTGGTATCTTGATGTAAACATTGAGACTTGCTTTCGAATATGTAAAATATTCAGTTGCCTTTTGAACAAGCTTCTCTTGAGCTGAGATTTCAGTTGCAGCGCCATCCGCTCCGACGGAAAGTATGTTGATTCCAGCCTGATGAGCCAGAGCGATGACCTCTTCGTGCTGTGATGCAATTTCGTCGGCTCCTTCGTTTGTTGGACTGGCTAACAGGGCTACTACATAAGTTGGGACATTTGGCAGAGGTACCTGGATGGTATATGCCCGTATCTAAATAAAAAAAGTCAGCATATGATTAGTGAAAGTGGTTTCAATACCCATAAATCTCACCTGTGAGCACATTCGATCTTCTTTAACTACCTCCTCCACTACACGTCGCAGCTCCTCAGAATCGTTGAAAGGAATATCTGGACCTTGTGCTCCAACTAAAAACCCGTTGTGGTGTCTAAGAGTTTTCACACACACGGTCTGATCAGATGCAAGAGCTATGGGTCCCGAGTAACCAAGGGCTGCTAGATTTTTCACAATTCGATTGAAGTTGTTTAAATTGATTCCAGGCTCCATCTTGCCATCACGAGCTTGAATTTGTCGTTGACTTCGTGCGGTTCGACCAGCAAAGGTTTTGGTGAAAAGGTTGAGGGCGCTACGACTCATTGCTCCAAGTGTGGTGAGACAATCATCAAGATATGGGTCCACTCGCAATCCTCGTAAAGACTTTCCTGCATCTTCACGCTCTGCACGCACTGAAACCCCCATGATTAGACCTTGAACAGCTTCGCGGTTTTTGAAAAGGCCTTTTTTGGCTAAGATAGCAACATGAGTTAAGTAATCTCCAAAGTCCCCACCGCGCGATGATTCGAGGGATGCTTGACAAATGCGAAGTTCTTTGTGAGCGATGAGTTTTTCGTGATACGGATCAGTCGCCATAAGTGTGTCGTTGGTGTATTTGAGGGTATCAGCTCCAGCGAAATCGTGATTGATAGCACTAACTAAGCTTTGTACTTCTTTCAGAGTGCAGCACTTTGAGCAGGCTGTGCTGGGATCGGATCTTCTACATATGATTGTCTTGAGGCACATCGGAGAATATATGGCATTTCGAGAACCGTGTCGTTTTACTAGCCAGACTGCTCGAGAATCCAAAGTTTCTAGAAGTGTAGACTTTTCAGCCTCCGATAATGAGCTTTCGGTGGCATCCAAGCCAAAGAGTTCCTGGCAGACCTTGTAACGAACATTGCCACGGTAGATTGAGCAAGTATTTTCCAAAAAATACTTAATGGTTTTTGTGGCTCGTGGACGATCCCACGTGATATCGTTTAAACCGGGACATGAAACTTCGACATAGCCTTTTTTCAAACGAGGAACAGTCGCAGGGTCCGCAGGTACAGCCGTAAAAAAACTAGTCAGGACTTTAGTTGAACGAAGTTCGGCGGTCTTTTTGATGCAAGTAGCTGTTGATTGATTTGGCACCACGTTCAGATCAGTTTTTGGATCAAAGAGAAGAACACGAAAAACACTCACCAGTTTTCCAGTGCTCCTGCGCAGCCTCAGTGCGTCCACCGTGTAAAGTCTTCTTTGATGCTCCACAATGGCACCAAAAATCTTTCCTTCTGATCAATTCTTCAATCTTACATCGGTCGCAAGGCTTGCTGGGTGTTGACATCGGACACATCTTAAGCAACTCGGACACGCTCGAGATGTATCCTCGTTTGCTGTCCGATTCGACTTGGGTTGGTTTGTTTTTCTTGGATTTCAATGTAGATGAGCCTTTGGGTTCTTTAGCAGGTTCCTCGTCATCTGAAGAGATCACATGGATCTCCAGTGGTTGACTTCGTTTGGCTGGAGGTTGTACAAGCTGGCTAATTGATACATCTTGATCCACATCGGGTGTAGAAACAACTCGTCGTTTGACTCCTTTGGATTCAGAAGCCGGAGGTTCTCCAGACAACTCTGAGGATCAAATGATAGAAATGATAGAGATAGAGATGGAAATTTATGATTTAAAAGAAGTTGACAAAACAAGAGAAAGCGAAAACAGAACTACAGAAACATACCTTTCAGATGCGAGAGGATCCGCTCCATCTTGATCTTGACAATTTGATCAGAGGCTGAATCCCATCCAGGGGGCTTGATTAGTTTCTTCGCCTTGTCGGCTTCTGAGTCCCACATCTCGTGCTTGCGAGCTTTGTTGAGCCACTTCACAACTAGGTCAAGTCCATACGGACCTTTTCGAAAATTGAGTGATCCTTCGCGCACACCAAACAACGCATCCAACTTACAGTTAGCTGCGTACCACATACCTTCTTCTTGATATTCAGGAGGTAAATAAGGTGCCTCCGCGAATTTCTTGTAGATTTCGTCGGAGGTAGTTCCAAGAGGGATGGCAGCCGAGTTTTCGGTGAACCGGATTATCTCTTCATTGATTTGATCAAGCGAGGGCATGGTTGTAAAGCGGCTGAATATTCGGAATATTCAAAGTATTGCGGTAATTCTGTGTAAATCCTTGTAAATCCTTGTAAATCTTGCAGATCTTGGATGATTAAACTTTTGCAACAGTTGCAGAAAAGTCTGGAAAAGTGCGTGTGAATTGCATATGTTGGTGGTACACCGGAATACATCGGAATGTCCTGGTATACAGGTCTATACAGGTACTTTCATGACTCGGCCCGGCCACCCCAAACCCGACTTCTCTCATTAGAAGCATATCTTGGACCCATCCGATTCCCGACATCTTTCATCAGAAGGATTTTTGGCAAAAACCTCCAAAAACCCCAAACCCGACATTTTTCATCAGAAACATCCAAAATTTGGAGGTCCAAAACCCGACTTTTTTCATCAGACGGGCTAGCAGGAGCTTTCCAGGGTCCTCCTTGAAGATGAAGATGACTGTGTGAATGGTGAGAATTGAGTGAAGTTCTTCAGTGAAACTTGTATGTAGATCACGACTCACTCTCCTCCTGTCTGTCTTTCGCAAACCTAACCCGAGATTGCCCTTTGTTCCGAAAACCTGCGCGATCGCTATATAATCTCATTTCTTCACCTCTTGCTTGACTGCTTTCTTCACTTTTCATCATTCTCATCCAAATCGATCTATCTCACCTAATCAGTCATCTCTTTTCCTGCTCCAATCAAGGTCAAAAAACAATCAAGCCGATTTGTTTCACTGCCCACGAATTCGTCGTACCCAGTTTACTCGATAAATCGTAAGCCCCCTTACTCATCTCTCTTCTTTTTCTTATGGATCACTCGAACACCCTGCCGGCGATTCCCGATCGATCATTGAGTGTGACATTAAGCGTCAACTCGTATGGACGCCTCTTGGAACCTACAAGCATCGTTTCAAGCAGCTTTGCTGCGCTTCTCGTCAATGCAATCAGGTGTTACTCACATCCAACCGGGTTGACCCAACTGGTCAACTCAGTTTGAGAATTGACTTACGCCGACACCCTACCCACATCGTCAGGGTCCCCCATTTTTGCTCTTTCACATGGTCGTGGAAGAGCCTCGAGATATGGCTCATTGAGCTCACCCAAATCAGAACTCAACTTTTGGTTTTCGTCTACAACTACTGCGGTGGTTGCACTTTCTCAACAATGTTCTTAATCAGACTCGTGGCCCGTATTGCGTATTGGGATTCCCTCAACGACCCGATGCTTGGGCTTCGGTTCGACAGTCAACTCCTTGCTATGACGACAGCATCTACTATGCGTCTTGCGACCTCACTTGTCTCGCATTGCTTATTGGTTTTGACTCCTCAGCAGTTTCCAGGGCATTGCGCAGACGATATGCTCAATATGACTTCTTACTCATCTCGGTTGCCATGTCTCGCTGTGATCTTCAATCTCTCATCCCTTCAAAATTTCCAATCGGCGCTTAATTATGCTGCGCAATGGGATCATTTCATCACTCAGACCCTGCTTCTCCCAGGTCTCCCAATGTTTCAGACGCGTTTCTAGTTCAACTGATCACCGACCACTCTCAACTGAGACTATTAAAGTCCAGTTCATTTCCCCCCTGGGGCCTGCCTTTCCACATATCTGCCTGATTTCTTTCTTTCTCCTATCGATCCTTCCTGTATCACATCTTCAGTCTTGAAATATCTTTCACTTGCAGACTTGACCTTTGTTCATCTACCGAACTAAGTACTAACCAGACTTGGACCTTTACTTGACTTCGTATCTCTCAGGATCCCTCATCGATCGTTCCTCACACTTCAATAGCTGCTTATATGAATTTACATCGTGAACAAACCTCGGACAGTCAGGGCTCCGCAATGGACTTACGAGTAGGCGGCAAGTACCGCATTGGCAAGAAGATTGGTAGTGGTTCTTTTGGTGTGTCTCTGACTTGGCTCTGACTACTATAGCCCGTGGATCTTTACTCACCGCCGTTGGAATTCCGCAGGTGATATATATCTCGGTATCAACATCATTTCGGGAGAAGAAGTGGCTATCAAGTTGGAAAGCGTCAAGGCGAAGCATCCTCAGCTCGAGTACGAGGCCAAAGTCTACAAAACGCTTGCTGGTGGCGTCGGTGTACCGTTCGTGCTCTTTCTCTGTCGTCCTCGGTGATCTCTTAGCTCATCCTTGTCATCCTGGACAGTTTCGTGAGATGGTATGGCATTGAGTGCGACTACAATGCTATGGTTATCGACTTGCTCGGCCCCAGTCTTGAGGACCTCTTCAACTTCTGCACCCGCAAATTCACCTTGAAAACGGCTCTCTTATTGGCTGATCAATTGGTGCGGATCAATCCTTGCTTCATTTGTCGCGACATCCCTAACGTTTCTTTCGTCCCTACCAGATCTCTCGAATTGAATATGTTCATTCTCGTAACTTTATCCATCGGGACATCAAACCTGACAACTTCTTGATGGGCATCGGCAAACGGGGCAACCAAGTCAACATCATCGATTTTGGTCTGGCCAAGAAGTACCGTGACCCTAAGACCCACCTACATATCCCTTACAGAGAGAACAAAAACTTGACCGGTACCGCTCGCTACACTTCCATCAACACCCATCTTGGGGTTGAACAATCTCGCCGAGATGATATGGAATCACTCGGATACGTTTTGATGTACTTCCTCCGTGGAAGTCTCCCCTGGCAAGGTTTGAAGGCTGCGACCAAGAAACAAAAGTATGATCGTATCATGGAGAAGAAGATGACAACCCCGACTGAATTCTTATGCCGAGGCTTTCCCAATGAATTTGCCATCTATCTCAACTACACACGCTCCCTCCGATTTGATGACAAGCCCGACTACAGCTACCTTCGTAAATTATTCAGAGACCTCTTCCTTCGTGAAGGTTTTGCATATGACTACGTTTTTGATTGGTCAATCGCTAGCCGCCTGTCTGACGATACCAAAGATCCGAGAGAAGGTCGACCACCAGCGAGTGCCCCACAAGGCCCCCTTCGACGCAAAGTCCAGCTCCATCAAGAAGATTTGGGACAAAACAATGAACGGATGTAAGTGTCGCATGCCGTTATCTGTTGATGGAGCCAACCAATGTACATACCTTCTTCGCTTCTCAAATAATTCTCCGTATACATCCTCATCATTTGTACTGTGTTGCATCACCTGCGACTGCTTTCGGCCTTTCTCAATTCCCAATCTAGTCATGATGAACTATTCTGAGCAAACTCGAACCTCTTTTGTTTTATTTATCTTACAGAAACTGACTTTAACCGGTGCTCTTGCCCAACACGTTTTTGCGACTCTCGATCGTCATGGTGTCATGTCTCGGATTTTCAGGCTTCTCCGCAGTGCTACCAAGGCTCGGGAACAGACGGATGCAAATGCTCGCACGAAGTCCCCCACGTGGCGTCCATCCTAGAATTCGGTCCCGTTTTTTGTTATTTTTCTTTGTTTCTTTCTTTCTATATGTATCGATGGTGTCTCAGACCATGTCCGCGAGTTCACAACAAAACAGTCAACGTCGGGCACAACAACTCGTTGGATAATGATATGAGACGGAAGGAGTTTGGTGGTCATTCAATTGAAGTGTTGGACTAGGTTGGTGAGGGAAGCTGAAGGCAGTCAACAATCAGAAGATGAGATAGTGGAGGGAGGAAAGAAGACAGATCAACACAACCCCGGATCCGATCAGGCCGGGTTTTAGACCTGTTACACTTTCATCATTAGCTATTGTTTTCTTATTACCTCAAGGATCATTTACTCACCCGTCCGAATCTTCCAGCACGCTAGCGGCGCACTCCTGTTCCACGCGGCTCTTAGTACGGCATCTTCCCCCCATTTGCACCCATCGGCACTCGGAGAAGCTGCGGACTGATCCATCAGCATCCAGTATCGTCCGCCTTGCCCGAAAAATCTTAATTTACACAATCACTTCCCCCTTCTTGTGGTTCGCCCGCTTCGACATCAGTCGCATCCCCTTTCCATTTACTGTTTGATGACCAGACTCTGTTCATCCTTTGTGAATAGTTCTTTCAGGCCAGATACATTCTTCATCACAACTACTGCGGGAGCCATTTTGTAGGCAAGGGTTTTCTGATTTCCTTTGAACTGTCTCTTGTCTTGACCTGTGTGATCTTTACAAAAACTATGATAACAGTCTGCGAACAAATATGTAACACTGTTACTTTACAATGCTCCCAATGGGATTTCTTTATCTCCAAACCTTGTTATCATCTCCTGTTCCTTATATGAATGCCTATTCTTGCCATCGAAAATGTTTCTTTTTGCCAAGGAATACATCTTTTAGTCCCCATACTGCTGGTATTGCTCCACTTCCACACCATACCTGAATGATCATCTTGTCAATGCGACTTTGAGATCATCTGCCATTTGACACTTGAAACAATCAGCCAGATCGATGCGAGCAATGCTGTGAGATTGGTGTCAACTAGGTCACATGCAGCCCAAGGTACTGTGCTGATGAATTCCAGCAGAACCATATGGTAAATGCCTCTTCGACAAATCTTAGCGGATAAATTGCGGGTTGGGGGAAATGTGTATATTGTGGTAAATATTCCCGGAAAGATGTATTTTGGGTATGATTATTGTCACGCCCACTTCTCATGATCATATCCTGAAGCTCTTGTTGAGTTGTCATAAAGAAAACAGGTATTTAGTTCATTGTAATTGACAATTTACCAAGAAGCTCAAAGATTTTTAAACACAAGAGTCAAAATTTTCTCAGGTTAAATTGTGCCCTCCATGTCACTTGAAAAAAGGTGTGTTTGTATGTGCCTCTGCTGAAATTTTATTGAACTATTTGATTGTTTATTTGACAGGAAGTCAACTTGAGGGATTTAGCTTACTTGTTTTCTTGATCAAAGGTATATGTATTCAATTTATCATCAACATATTAAAAATGTATTAATTCAATCTTTGTTTTTGAGTCCGTTTTTTTCTTCTTTTTTTTCCTTTCTATTCTTTTTTTGTGTTGAAAGGTTTCCTCAGCAAGTTTGGTTTTAATTTTTTTCTAAATCCTTTAATAAGATGTTCTAATTCTAGTTTTTGAATTTGATATGATATAAATTTTCTAATCATATGTTTTGCTCATATATTGGAGTATCTGTTCTTGGAACTTAATTTGTAAAACAACATTGTATATGATTTGTGCAAAAAAACCCTGCCTCATAATAGATAAAGGATGTTACTTGTAAGAGATTCATTGTATACTGATCAACTTCATTTCATCATGTATTAATCAAGACTTTTTAAATGCTCAACTTATTTCAAAACTGTTCTACAGTTTAAGCAAATGAACTTGGATTGCTTTCTAGTATGTTGGACATATTTATTTATGTATCAGTGTATCTCTTGATTTGTGAAATTTTTAATGAGAAACCTTTCAAAAACTTTGCACAGGATCTAAATGAAGGTGTTCCTACGTTGGTATAGAGCTCTGTGTTGGTTTCTTTTTTAAATAATGTGACTAACTTGGATAGTTTGAAGTATATTGACAGGAACACAATTGTGCCGCTTCAATTATCCATGTTTCCTAAAAACTGGATACCCTTAAGTTGACTATGGGCACGATTCCGTGGGTTAAGAATGCATCGGACCCTGATTTTCTTTTCTTTTTTTTTCGTAACAATGAGCATTTCTAGGGTATAAAGTTCATATACAGTCGTCTCTCCAATAACCCATACCGTTTTATGGACACCAAAAAGTATGGGTTTTGATGGAGTATGTCCTATGGGGATCTCTCTGATAACCCATAAATCTTATTTTGGGGGTAAAATATGGGTTAGGAGAGAGATTTTTTTTAAAAAAACAATTTTTATTTCAAAGCAAAGTAAATAGTGAAGTAGAACAAAAAGCGGGAAGATTTAAGGATTGGATGAGAAGTAGTGCTTCAAATTTGATTGGTTCATTTTCTTTGAACGTGCTGAACTAAACTGCCGCAACGCTCGGCGAAGGGTTTTTCCGCAAGCCCTCGCTTCCTCACATTCTTCATGCCTGAGGTATGCCATTACAACATCACTTGATTTCAGTAAGTCAGAATATGATGGTTGTGGAGGTACTTCAACTTCAATGTGCTCGGGTTGAGGGAGATCTTCATGACTGTCACGTTCCTGAATTGATTCAAAGATTTCCTCGGGTGTCCAGGTTTCAAGGCCGCTTGCATGCTCACCGTGAAGATTTAAGAGCTCGCTAATAGACATCATGTTTGATTTGTGAACAACTCGTAAGGAGATCAATTCTTGAAGGTCTTGCTCAAGATCCTGATGAGCAACATCATCAATCAAAGGCTCCGTGTTGAGACTCGCATCCGCTGAGTTTGGATCCTGCAGCAAAGATCCATCGGGATTTCGAGGGGAAATGATACCCGCCTTCCTATAACAGTTTGAAATTGTATCTTGAGTCACTTCATTCCAAGAGTTTTCAGCTCGCTCCATAGCGTCGATTTGATTGATTTTGAAGATTGTTCCAATGGGGACTTCATTTTCATAGCGATTGATCACATATGTAATGTATTCAGATCTATATCGACATTTCCATGATGCGATTATGCCAGCATCCAGCGGTTGAACATGTGATGTAAGGTTTGGAGAAAAGAACTCGAGGCGAATACTGGTAAGTTTGTACTCGGAAGGCTCCTTATGACCAGAAAAATTGTCAACTAAGAGTAATATAGAACGACCTTCTGCCGATAACTTGATGTCCCAGTCTATAATCCACTCTGAAAACAGCTCAAATGTCATCCATGCCTTTGCATTGCTCCGATAGTAGTATCCAAGATTTTCGCCGGACTTTTTGTGGAAGCAGGCTGGACGCTTTGCTTTTCCGATGATGAACGGTTTGAGCTTGTCTGTTCCATCTGCATTACATGTGAGTGCAAAGGTCAAGCGTCGCTTATCACCTTTAACACCTGATTGTTTGTCTTTAGACAAGGCTCGGTCTGGTGGCATTCTACAGTACGTGTTGAGAAATCGAGGCTTGTTAGTAAAGATCAAAAGTATGTTACAGTACAAATGTTCTCACGCATAGAACAATCCTGTTTCATCCATGTTATAGATGTCTCTAGGATGGTAGGACTTGGTGATATCCTGGATTCGTTTTCGTTCTGCAACGACCTTATCCGGAGTAGCTGAGCCCGCCTCGCCGTGTCTGACTCTTTGTCTAAGACCGTTACGTAATTTAAACTTGGTCAGCCAGCCTTCACTGAGCTTAAGCCACTCTGCTTGAGGCACTTTGAAAAGTGTTGCGAAGTGACGCCACTTGGCTCGTATCACATCTCCGGTAAGTGGAAGTCCGGCAATGTCAGCCTGTTGAACCCAAGTCTGTAGGGCTTCTGTTACTTGAGGATGTTCAGTCTCATTTCTCCGCTTGATGCCAAGTCCTACACCAGACTCGTAACTATCTCGTAACTTCGATTCATTATGTACCCAACTCGAGACTAGAGGTTGTGTTATGATAACACCAGGAAAACTATTTTCAAAATGTTTTGCTGTCTTGACCTGAACTCGACCATTTTTATTGTGCCAGTCTAACACTAATATACGCTGAGCCAGAGTGGCATTAGTACGAGCAGACTTTGATCGGGTTTTTTTAGAAGAACTCGAGTTTGGTTGATTGGAAGATTCAACACAAGGATCGTCTCGATTTCGCTTCTTGGGACCTGGGTGTTGAACAATACATAGGGATCAGATTTCACCATACATATTGGATGCTTTAGAAGTGTTTGCAAAGAGATATTCACGAGGTTTAGCTACAGATGGGTCCACAAAAACCTTGTGCTCAAACTTATAAATCAAGACCTCTAATGTCTTCAGCTCATCTTTGCTGAAGGTCTTAGCAGCATCAGAGACATTGTTGCTATTTTTTATTTTCTCGAGGACAAGAGCCTCATCAACCATATTTCCAGCGTTATCGATAAAATCTTCGTCTGCCTTTGAAAGCGCCTTCCCTTGGCTCAAAAGGTCTCGTAGTGGACCCATACGTCAATCATTTTCAGATTTCAGCCGATCGAAACCTTCTTGAATATTCGCGAGGGTGAACTTTGTTAGGTCTTTAGGAATCATCTTTATGCGGTGGAGTTTGTGTGTTGATTTGTGTGTTTGTGGGTGTATTGCTGACAAAAGTAAGTTGTACAGTAAGGAATTTCAAACTCTTGTTCACCAGTCTGAATCTACATCACCCAAAAGTATGGGTTTTTCATCGCTGGTTGGGAGCGTAACCGTATCAGTCTTTTTCTGAGACTAACTCGCTCTGAGACTATCCTGAGACAAACAAAAAAGTAAACCGGATGGTGGCTTTTTGTACACTGTCTGTACAGGCTGGTGGCAACTGGTACATATGTATGAAGACTTGAACAAATTCATCATTAAGACTTCAAAGAAGCTGTTAACACTTCGATAACCTCATCAAGAATCAAGAACCTTTGTCGAGTCATCCATGTGCACCTTATATCTATACCTTCAGACTCACTCCAATCCCCCTGAAACATTGTCAAGGGGGTTCTATCGCTACAACCACTTACATATCAAAGTATTGATAATGAAGCAACTTACAAAACAACAAAATGTTATTGGAACAAGCTACTTTGAATGAAAGTAGCAAGCAAAACCGATACAAGAAAAACAATGCATTGTCATCGGAGCGAGATACTTTGATGTAAGAGGTTTCTATCTGTTGCGTTGTCTTGATTTCTTCAAAAACGACTCAGTCGCCATCTTTTCAAACTGTCTCTTTGTATGTATAATCTTCACGAAAAGGACTCGATATCACTTCTTTTCAACCAACCTAAAATGCTTCCAACTTCTGCTTTTCAAGACATCTCATTTTGCATTTTATCAACTCGATCGTCTTTTGTATGTATTATTTTTGACCAATGAAATTGACCAATGGATGTCTAGATGTTCTGTAGTTGGTGGAAGGCTTATAAAGAGAAGGAAGCGCCATGCGAAAAAAAACGCGCCACACAGACCGGGATTGAACTATACCTGTATGTCTCACTGCTTCTCTCAGGTAGTCTCAGAGAAAGACTGATACCGCATCTCTCCCCGCTGGTTGGCCTCAAAAAAGTATGGTTTATGGGGAATGATGGAGATATGGGTTTTCTGTCAATTTCCCCCGCCCATAAAAAATATGGACGGAAAAAAGCATGGGATATGCGAGAGTATGGCTTATTGGGTATATGGATTTTTGGAGAGACGACTGTAGGATCAAACATGTTTGAAGGAAGCTGACTGACTGGACTGTGTTCTTTGAGATAAGCTTAACTGAGCCCCTCTAGGAGCACGTCAGAATCTTTTAACCCTTCGCGCAAGCTTCGGATGTTCAGGTCCCACTCCCAGGGACAAGATTCAGTTCTTCAAAACCGGAAAAATGTCTTTGGCAGAACTTAGGATAGTCGCGAGCCAGCCACCTTTACAAAGCCTATGTTCATTTCGGTGGACCATTCTGATAAAGTGGCGTGGTCAAGTTGTATATATGACCCATGCGACCAAGTGGCACTACTTCAGAGTCGACCCTGATGATGAAATCTGATCGCGGATGTGGAGTGGACATCGGATTCGGTATATATACCGCGACTGGCTTCGTCTTCGCTTTCCCCCACTTATACCATCATCTATCTTCAGGTGACACCATAAATCTTCAGGAAAAGTTCTTCCTAAGCACTTCCTCAGCAAAGTGATTTTTTTTGGCTACATTCTCATCTTTTTTTACAGTTTATGCTGATGCATTTGTATGCTATGTCGCAGAACGATCAAACAGTTCCAAAGTTCTCTATAAAACCTGCTCGAATACCTTACCGTCTCATCACAAAGATCTGATTTCGAAAATGGTGAGTGTTTCTTCCATGACCGAGCTTTTTGGGAGTAAACTTACCATTCTGATGTCTCTCAAACAATGTAGCTCGTGAAATACGGCTTACTCCTGCTTTCATCTACGCTTGCGGTCTTAGGATTAGTCCCAAAGTGCTGCGAAAATGACGGAACAATTCCCGAACGCATTGGTGACCGCCCACCCATGCCAGGCGCCGTAACAACTTGCTCCGGTTCTGTATTCCCGAGCTGTTCAAGCGGAACAGCCAAATGTTTGAGTACAGGCTTCGATTGCTACAATGAGCACAACCAACCTGCGGGAGCTACTCCAGGCTGTAGTAATGGAGAAAATGCGCAATGTATGTGATTGATTCATTGTGTGCTGGAAAATTTGTTGGCTTGCCTTTTTATCCTTTTAGCACTTAGAGTATCCAATGTGGGAGGTTTTGACTTAGGATTGACAAGCAATAGGCCTATTGGTTAAGGAATTTGATGTCAGATTGGGTTATTCAAATCCACTAAAACTGAAGAAACTTTACTCAGCCTATGAATAATTAGTCTTGAAATAGGTGATGGAAGCAAAACAAAAAGACCAGATTGTGGGTACATAGTCATTCATAGACTTGTTTCTTGACACAAAAGAATAACATTCGGATCTGTTGCACACTTGCATGAAAGTATTGTTTGCTAAGATATGACTACAAGGTCAAGAGAACAACTAACTAGTGAGAGGAAGAAGAGAAAATGTGGGCACAGATATGTGTTGAAAGGTTTTGTTGTAGTAGATCATACAATCCGAGTATTTGCTGGTGGAGTGTTCGAACTCACAAGCTTCAGTCAGGGATAAATTTCTTCTCTTATCATAATCTGTCAGAGAATCCTGTTAGGCTGATTGTATCTGAATCATGAACTTTCTTGTCCAATCGTCAATTTCAAGTGTTGTTGAATTTTCTATCAATAATTTTCAAACTCACATGACAAACAGCTCAGTAATTGGAGAAAGACTTACAATTTTTGAAATCAGGTCCTTGTGAGAACACATCTAAACTTATTGCTAGGAAGATAGAACCAAGAACTCTGTTCTTGGCCTGTTTACTGCTCCTCTTTGTACAGTCAACTCCATAGGAGCCACAAACTGTGTTCCATGGTATTTCAAAGTAACAAAGACAGGGTCTATCTCAAATACCGACTGGACACTGATATGTATATATAGGGTATGACAGAGCATTGATCTTGGCATGGTCATGATATTGCTAGTTGCTATGGGTCAAGAATTCTTTTTTCTGTAGATGATCAAAGAAAAAGATTATAGACGCCATGTTGTCAAATTATGTTGTGGTAACAAGAAACCTATCTTTCTGCTTCACCTCAACAATCTATTCTAAATCTTCAAGGTAAATGGAATTTAGTAATGCAATATGGCCTTTCTAAGATTCTAGATTAATTTATACAAATTACAACTTTATCTACAAGGTCATCTAATTCTATAATTTTATTATATTCTTATCTTTTTACAAGCACGAGGTAATCTAAACCTTGGAGGAATAGATTGTTTTTGACTAACTTTATTCCAATTGACTTTATTGAACCAAGGATGATGAATAAGTTCAGAAATATTTTGTAATCTTTGAGTATGGTTCTTATTTATTAGGAGTTTGATTAAGTCTATACAATTTATTGAAAGATGTGACGGATAAATCACTCCAGTTTCTAAAATCATACGTGGTAAACATTCATCTGGACATCCTTTGATTGTTAAACTTGGTTCTGAATTGCTTGATGGTTCGATTTGATGAAGATAACAATTCCGTCGAAAGAATGGTTCATGATCGGTTAGTAGTTCATAAAGAGCAACACCTAATGCATACCAATCTACATTAAAACTATACGGCTCTCTACGAATCATTTCAGGTGGTCTTATATGCATAGCACCTGAAGGGATAGATAAATGAGTCTGAGAACCTTGAAGGATTTCTGATAGACCGAAATCGATAAGTTTGATATGACCATCATTCGAAATCATCATATTGTCGAGTTTCAAATCACGATGAATGATTCTTTTAGAATGTAAAAATGAGATTCCAGTGGCGATTTCAGTGATGTAAAACTTTGCTTGCGATTCATTAAATGGTCCATTTGTTTCTAATTTTTGTAATAAATTTAAACCGTTGATATATTCTAGAATTATACTAATTTCATTTTCATTCAAGATGAACCCTCGAAACTTAACAATAAATGGATGATCTGATTCACAAATCCTTTTAAAGATTTTCACTTCTTGTTGGATTCTTTGGTGTAGGTTGGCCTTGGATCTTTGAGGATTTTTGAAACTTTTGATTACGTAGGTTTTTTTGGTGGTGGTATGTTCTGCTAAGATTACTGTGGCACTCGTACCTTGACCGATCACTTTTCCTAGTTTATAATTAGATATAGATTCGCTTTGAGTTAAACTAGTTGAAGAGAATGGATCGATCGTATAACTCGATCTCGATCTCGATCTCGGCGGTGGTGAAGTAGATAATCGTCGCTTCATCTTCTTTTTGGTATGTTACGAATGTCTTGGAGTAAGTTTAGTTGTTAAAGCTTTTGTGTGGTATCGGATTGAAGGATGTTGTGATGTTGAAGTGGTTTGAAGCGAATCCTAAGCTTCATTTTTGTTGCTTCAACTCTCGATAATTTCACTCAGCTTTTGGATGATGCACAAAAAGTAATGCGCATTTCAATATCACCATACAGCAGGTCTTTTTGCTGAGTGACTTTCAAGAGAAAAAATGCGTGTTTACTTTGACATTTTGAATGCATCAATTTTCAAATCATTTTCACCTCTGGCTTCTGGCATTTTCATCACGAAAGACGCTTCAGATTTGGCCAACAAGAAGTGCCTTTTTGATGCAACTAAGAACGAGAAAACCTAGCACGCAACATAAAAATCAGCTTCAATTCAAGCTGTCAAGGCCTTTGAAAGAAGATCATGACAGTCTTTTGGCTCTTTTCAGAGTATCTCTAAATCACATCAACATCAGATTTGTGTATTCTTTTCTCCCAAATGGCCAGGTATATGCTTCGTGTACCATACAAATACATTCACAAATTGATCTCAAGCCAAATAAAAAGTTCAATTTTACATACGTTGGTCAACTATTCATTCAAAGAAACATTTTTGTGTTCCAACTTGTCCATCACCTCATTAGACTCCTGTTTCCTTATTTCAACTTGACCTTGCAAATCAATGAGTGTAAAAGGCTTCCTTTGAGATATTAAGCAGGTTATCAATATCATACATGGAATTCATGCCATATCACTGGTAACTGGGTGAAGTGAAGCAGGTGATTCCCTGCCTCATTTATTCCTCACACACATTTGGTATAGAAATTGCTGTGATCATTTCAAGCTAAGAACATCTCACAAGGCCTCAAAAATAGACTAACTCATCAATGTGACCCAGTGGTTTATTTGTCAGTAGGATGTGTTGATAACAGTTTATAAGAAGACAATGTTGATTTTATAATGTTCCACTTCAATGATGATCCACACTGAAGTGACACGTTAAGAAGTGTCCTTGTCCACTCAAAATGTTTCTGTCAAAGTTCATAATTGAGTTTCCCCTTCTGTCCTTTCAGAGTCCAGGCAGAGGTTAAACTTATGATCATCACTGAAACATTCACAGAGATATTGGTTTAGCTGTTAGAGTCTAGATCAGGAAGGCTCAGATTAGAAAAATGCTAAAGATAAAAGGGTCCCTACATCAAGATTCTGCTTGAAAATTTTAATTTTTCAAAGTACATTGTGGAAACCCTCTCTGGAAATCACTCTCACAACATTTGTTTTGAAAAAAGTCTCAATTTTGTCAGGGCTGGGAGGGTCAAGCAGATAAGATTTTTGGCAAAATTCGGATAACTTGAACCCCACTATTGATTGATGGTAGATAATAGAGGTAGCATCAAAGGATTTTCAAACACACTACACACAAGAAAGAAAAGATCTGAATGTATACATGTGATTTGTGGATTCCACTTGAACCAGTAATTTAGATCCAATAGAATCTTGAATCTCTTGGGTCTTCCTTGATGATATTTTTCATAACATAAAAAGTAGGTATAAGATTCAAGACATCTGAAATCACGTGGTGGGCGCGGGGTTTGGATGTAGGGCGCGCTCGGCGCGCCTTTTCAAACCTTCAAGAGGCGCGCCTGTAGTGGGGGCGCCAAGGCGCGCCTTTTGAGGCTGCAAAATCAAAAAACGATCAAAAAAATTGATAAAACAGCCTTGAAAAGTGTTGAAAGGGAGAAGAAATGAGCATTTCTTGCAAATTCTTTGTGCATACTTCGATAAACAAGAGTGAGAAATATAAAATCAAACAAAGAGATCATTTTCATCCCATGATTCATTGTCGGATTCAGAATCCACCACCATTACATCTGTAAAGGCCTCATTGGAATTGGAATTATTGAAACAAGTGATGTCAAACAGTGATTTTGGACATAAGGAAACCCGTCCATCTTTTCCCAAAGCTTGAAGTTGGTGGAATCCACTCGGATGATGTCTTGGTTGTGTCCTTTGGCATGATTGAAGGTGATGGGTGTGTGAAAAAGGGTCAGAAAGTCCAAACTTATATAAGTCCCACTCGCGTGGCCCCGTCGGTACAAGTACCACGTACCTCCGAGCGCCAGCGAGGGACTTACGCGCAATCGCCAAAATCTGGCGTGAGATCAGGGAGGGCTTTTGCCCAAAATCCCTCCTCTCACTTGCTCACTTTCTACGCTTATCAACTCATCATGAACCCTTAATAAAAAAGTTGCGCAGCCCTGCCACATATAATTTGGCACCCTCCCTTTCCCAACGGCTCTCTCGGATCTCATCATGCGAGCAAAAACCTCCTGGAGCCCAACACCGGGGCCGTACATATGCCCAGCCTGACTGCGGCGTCCAAAACGCCAGAGATGTGGACAAAACTTTGAAAACCTCGTTCTCGAACTGCAGTTTGTCGACGGAACCACCTCAATCTCGTAAACTGTCTAAGTACGCGGTTTAACACCCTCTTCGGAGATTTCCCATAGCACCACTATTGCCGTACCACTCTCCCAGTTCAAGATCATTTACCGCTTAAGAATGCTATGCAGGAGTCACTCCGCCGCCAGTGCGCAAAGTCTTGCACTGCAGACGGCGAAATCGGTCACCGCACGGCCTAAACTACGACCTGATCTTATTGATCACAGTGAAGAACATCAAGCAGGTGTCCTCCGGAAGCTATTCCACGTGAAATACGGATATCACCCTCAGGAGCAGCAAATCGAAGCAGCGCTGCACGTGATTAACGGACGCACAACTTTCTTATTAGCTGGAACAGGATTTGGTAAAAGTCGTGTGCCGGAATTGGTCTCGCTGGCGTATGAAGAGCACGGCGCCCCGATAATCCTGAGTATCAACCCATTGGAAGCTTTAGGCGATGATCAGGTCGGTCTGCGCGTGTTGGGTTAAGGGTTGCATCTCACTGCTTATCGCTGATGTGGCTCGCACGTTGTCACAACAGGTGAGCGAAAAGGAGACAGTTAACTTGAAAGGTGTCAATCTAACGGGTGCTAACTGCACCCGTGAGACGTGCAACGCGATCCTTCACGGCGATTTTACCTTTGTATATGTGGTATTTGCTTTCCTACTTCGCCCACACTGCCTTTCCATGATACTGATTGTCACAAATGCATGTTTGACTTTGGCCGTGTGGTCAGTCCCCAGAGGTTGCCTTAACAAGCGACATTTTTGATCAAATGTGGACGGATGTTTGGTTTCAGGCAAGGTTGATACTGAACGTCGTAGACAAAGCCCACATGGTATATACCTGGGGACTCGTCGAGAGTGGTCAAGCCAAAAGGCTAGCCAGTTGGACTCGAGTTCACGACGGTGGGGTGTTCCGCCCTTCGTATGGCCAACTAGCGCGACGGTTTCTGGCATCCAATAAAGTGCCTATACTCCTGATGACTGCAACTTGCACTCCTCAGGCTATCCATGCCATCATCATAAACCTCAAGCTGGACTCTCGCAATATACGATTTGTACGGGCCGAGCTCAGCCGGCCGGAACTACGCCTGATTAGACGAACCTTCAAGCGACCCCTGAAGGCATCGTTAAGAAACCTGTTCAGCCATCACTCTGCCGTGCCTACCTCCGATCCTCCCACCCTCATTTATTCTGGTACTCAAAACGCAACACTGGAGCACCTCGAGCTGATCAACGCCGCCCGAGGTCACCCTGCTGAGGCTGCAAATGGCCAATCATCTTTTGCTCGGCGTTATCACGCCACCACTGGTCCAAATGCAAAACTAGATGCTGTTCAGGCGTTCGTCGCCTGCCGCCTCGCGGTGATTTGTTGTACCCTGGCCCTTGGCCTAGGCCAAAACTGGCATCGGGTTCGCCGTGTGGTGATCGTGGGACGCCAGGATCCCTGCAACTTCGTGCAGATGTCCGGTCGTTGCGGACGTGATGGCAGACGCGGCCTTGGGTTTCTCCTGGTTGAACACTCTCGAGCCCACGGAAAGGCCAAGATCGAGGATTTTGATTTGAATACGGTCATGTCGGACGATGACCGTATGGATGCCCTTGCGCTGACCCCGGTGTGCCTGCGCGTGGCCATAGCGGTGGATCTCGAGTAAGCCGATTCCTCTATTGTATTCGGGTGGGCTGTTGGTGATGTTTGGGTCAAACAGAGAAGGTTACATACCTTTAGAGACCGATTCGAGTGTGGTTGCCGCGGAAGAAAAGCGTCAGCGCGATGCAGGGATGCCACCGTGTGACTGCTCCAATTGTGAGCCAGAGGAGGCCGAAGCGCTCTGGCTCGCGCAACCGGCCCTCACTAATGAGAATTTCGACGCCGCGCTGGAAATGGACACCTCTGAGCTCCGAGACTTGTTGAAGACCCTCCCAAAAACCCCAGCCGGTTTGGTCGCAGACTTGCGTCATATCGCAATGCCGTGCGGTAATGACGATCCTGTATTTGAATCTCAAATCCTGGAAACACTGGTGTCACGTTTAGTCCGGACCTTTTATGATTTTTGGCAGACCAAGTACCCTCGTCCGTGCCATCTCGCACCGGACGACTATTTCGGCCGGGATCTGGCTTGGGACTTGGCGAAAATGTTGATCTCCTACGTCAACCGGAAGATCTCGGTCTGATACTGGCTAGCGAATCAATCGAAGGGCAATTTGACCTACTGTTCAAAGAGATTCTACTCTGGCAAGATGACAGTGCGGCCGCTGAAGCCATCGCCCAAGCGGCATCAAAGAGAGCCGCGGCATCTCGAGCACCTCCAAAGGCCATCCAATCGGTGGAGGGGGCTCAACTCTCTAAAATTCGAGCGGAAGCCTGTAGAGTGGCCTCAAAGGAGGCCAGGCTGGTCGAAAAATATTTGGCCACTCAGGCCAAAGCGTCTGAAAAGGCTGCCGCCCTGGCCAAAAAAAACCAGGACAAGTTGGAGGCCGATCAACAACGGGCTGCACTGAAGGAAGCTCTCTCTATTGAACATGCTAATCAACGCGCTTTGGCGAAGTCCCAGCGCGCAGCGGAGAGTGCAGCGAAGAGACTCGCGTCAGGTATGGGCAAACATTGTCCACAGGCGACTACTCCTGCCGCAGAGGCAGGAGTGACTCCCCCAAAGCGCATCGGTGAGATGATGGCGGAACCCAGTTGCGCCAAGAGACGTGCAACTCAGGTCTGTTCTTAGTTTGGCAAATTCGAAACATCGATGAGATGTATCTAACGTTTCATATCTTTCGCTTAATCCCCACGACGTGATGTATTTATCACTACATAGCAGTCACTGACTCCGCACGAGGGTTCCCCAACTCCCAAAGGCGTGAGCGAAGTACGATCGCAACTGGTCAGTGTGTCCTTTTCGTTGGTTGAGTGGTGAACTATGGCTAATGAAAGAATTGCCAATGTCACTCCTCTCCAGGGAATTCCCCAGACTGGCTGTCCCAGGATGACAACACATCAGCAGCCCCCCACCGGAACCTCGATTTACGACCCGCGGCTTGGTCCGCGCGAATGAGCTTGATCATGTTTCGCGCTCCGACTTTGTAAATGTTTGCGACCGCTTTCGAGGGACGCCTGGCAGCTGCCAGGCCTAAGTGCGTTTTGGCATAGGCTAGAAATGTGATCAAGGACGGCCCGGTTATTGTATTGGAGTTTGGTTGAAATAGCAAGGTGTGGCCTGAGTGTATCTTGAAAAGTTGCATCAGCTTGCGTAGCTGGAAACGTGTCAAATAAAGAGTGGTTAGCATGTAATGAAGCACTCCTTTAAGATGGTCTATGGATCTCATCTTTACGATGGTCTACTTACCAAAGGAATGATGTTCGAGAGTCGATCGGTTAGTCGTCGAAGGTCTGTTCCGTGCCCCTAAGAAGTCATTCATAAGTCTTACCTAATGTCTCCAAGGGTCAAGTCTTAAAGGTTAGGTGATAGGCATTCTCGATTATAATGACATACCGTATTGTTATACACCCTCTTGAGATATAATATGCTAATTTCAAGGTACTCGTCAATCGGAAGCCAATGATCCAACCTCTCGTTGGAAGGCAGCAATAGACAGTGCTTGATTGCCTGTGCGAGCTCACGAGGTAAGTCCTCCTCTAAGAGCAAAACCATGCGAGGAATGTGTCTTCCATAATGTGATAACCCCTGAATACCTTGGGCCATCACAGCCCATTGCTTCCACACTAGCATCAGCCTCCCGATATCCCCCGCGCGAGTAGCGTCGTGAGCTTCAACGACGGTCAAAAAATTGCGCAGTCGTAACATCAAATTGTAACGTGTTGGATCGTTGGACAATCGGGTGTTTTCCAACGCACTCGCGTTAAAGAAACGAAGCCAAACCCTGTCAATCAGGCTCTGGCAGTCCATAGCTTTGGCGAGGTCCAGATCCTGTTCCGATTCGCAAGTTTCTCTGGAGATTCGAAATGTAAGTCAGCTCGATAGGGGTCAATTTACCATAATCGCCAATATGACCTGACCGACCTGATAATATGAACCATGTTGGCCTGGTGAAGCATTCGGCATGACCGCATGATGGTATTGAACTCTTGCGAGTTGGGATGTTTTTTATATTCACCGCCCACAGCAAACAAAGTTCTCCACGCACCGGAGTCGTCGCCATCGTCGGAATTACCCCAATGGTGGGCTAGCAAAGCCCTGCTGAAATTCCACGTTGTGTGGGCTCCCCCGAAAACCGATAGCACCCATTCCATGCCTTTGACTCGATCAATGGCCGGAAACCTCTTCATGCGCAGGCTTTTCAACAATTGGTTGGAGCCCACGTCACCACCGGCCACGAGGAGGCTCTCTGCGAGATTTTTATTATCCACACCTATCTGTTCGATGACCTGGTCGAACACCCGCGAAACGCCTTCGGCTGAGGAATCCGGCGCATCCATCATGCGTAGGAAGTGCAGGTTAGGTTGGTGCATGTCGATTGGATCGACAGAGGGCGGTTTCGTATCCAGAGAGCCGAACTGATGTGCGCCAGGGACCCCAGGTATGTGTTCTACATAATCCTTGATGGCCTTCGACAGCTGAGCCTTGACCACGGCAACCCAATGATCGCATTCGGCAGGAGACGGACAAAAAGATGACATATTTACGCTCTTACGGTCTGCCTTGGCCATGGCGTCCAAGAAAGTCGCCAATCTGGCGGCTTCCGAGGTACACTTTGCCTGAAGCGCCGCGCGAACCACGATGAAAAAACCCCACGTGCCGTGGAAGAGACGCGAGGAAGCCTCGATGCGTGTATTGTGGATTCTCAGTTGGATATCAATGTTGTCGTATACCAATAACGGTAAAAGTTTATGATTCATTTTGAAAACCTCGATCAGACGCTCCTCTTGTAACCGACGCAAATTGTCTATAGCTTGGAGAGTACTAGTCCTCGAGGTGGTGATCCCGTGGCAATGCAGCCATTCATTTATTCGACATGAAATTCCCCCGGCGAATCCCATCAATCCATTCGCGGTTTGTACCGCATTGCTACAACGATTGCATGTGTTGGCAATCATCGCACATACCATCATCGGGACCTAGGGTGCGGGAAACACACATCAGGACATAGAAACATGGGCATGCTAACGCTGACCACAAACCTTGGCCAACTTGTGAGCAGCTAGGTCTTTCGCCGACGGCTTGACGAAGACGAGATTTTCCATGGACAACACCGTGGCTTCTTCTGCATCGCCTGCGTCAGTGGCCTGACTCGATGTGTTTGAGTCAGGATGCAACGGGGGACCTTCTTGGGAGAGGTCGTCTTCGACGTCATCAAGGTGTGTCTGATTCAGTGCCAGTTTCACCTTTCGATGAATCAGGGAATAAAGAAAGCTCATTCCGGATTTCACTTGTCCTTCTCAAACACTTTCAGAAGTCTCGCTAAAAAAATCTGCGGTGATCCTATTGGAGCTGACATATGCGCCCAATGGAAAATGCCCCCGAGCCAATTCTTGCTCATTCACAATTTCTGAAGCCTGCAAGATAATGAACAAGCTTCGGTGAATTTTAATTTCACCCCATTGAAACGGTGCACCAATGGCCGAACTGACCTCATCCAAAATCAATGACTCCCACGCAGCTCGCCCTTCCTCACAAGACTTGGAGTGTTTCCCAAAGTTTGTAATTATCGATCGGGTTTGCTCGAACCCCCGTCCAGTCTTCATGAGCCTTCGGCGATATTTAATCACAGGCTCAGAAGATGACATAAAAGTGACCATGAACTGTTTCGGAGATAAATCAAGCTCCGCGAGGTACTTCAACACCAGTATGGTCCGAGCCACCGTGCTAGGTACACGCTGGGCTGCCGAGTTGTTAACTTCAGGAGTCATTAAAAATATGTCGAAAGTGGGAGGTCCTAATGCTATCTTTGTAACAGAACCGCCGAAAAACCACATATTGCACCTTGTGACCGGAGTGTGTCTTTATGTGGACCGATGAAACCCCTCACAACTTCTCAGTATTACACCCGAAAGAGCCTAAGCACCTCCTCCTCCTTACTCAATGAAGCTGTGGAAATGATTTTGAATGTGGCAATTGATACACGTAAATGTAAACTACATCAGGTGGGGGGGACAGAGACGTCCCCAGCTATCTGAGTGCCACCTTGTCTCAGGGAAGGTCCTGACACAAGGTGAATACGAGTAGAATAGTGTCACTAATGTGACACTGCTATTACACTATTCCGAATGGGGCCATGCGAATATTTACAACCGGGAGAGATAGTAAGGAGGCACCTTACCGGTGAATGCTTACCAATAACAGGTGGGGTCCCAAGCGCCCGGATCGCCCCTTATAAGAAAGCGGCGCCAACATTGAAGTGTTTGAGACCATGACTTCCGTTCCAGGCATTCGGGTTCAATGCCTGGAACAGAAGTCATGTTTGGCACCCATCACTTCGGAACAGTTGCATTGAGGTCAATGGAAACCTCACACACAGGTTCAAGACATTGGAGCCTAAAAGTTTCACCCCAGTAAAAATTCGCGAGGTTGTCCACCTCGCATGAGACATGTCAGGGGCTGTTATTACCAGGGAGTACTCATATGCCACTTGCTTGATCCCAGTGCCCTTCGAGAGCTTGCCCATCCTTTTCACTCGATTATATCGGTACCCGATCACGAATATCTGGGAAAATGGAACCGTATAATGACCCACTGCTTGATCTGGAGGGTGTTATTGGACGAATCACTGACACGATCAAAGGAGAAGGGCTTACTGTCGAAACCTTCATCGAAGCGGTGGATGGGCCGTGTCCCACGTCTGTTGCGGAAAATCGTGCAGCACTGCCAGCTACGAGAACACTCTTTCATCAGACAGTCGAAATAATCGAGTTCATCGAGGTCACCCACATGAACGTCTGGCAATTTATCTTCAATTTCCTGGACCATCGGTTCCTTCCGCGAAGACCACATCGACACGATCTACGTGGCAATACGCCAATATCGCGCCGGTTGATCCGAAGTATCTTGATGAGCTTACGAGGCATCATATATGACGCTGGAAATGGGGATACCGTATGGCGCGAATTCATTCAGGAGCAGGTGAGCATTTGCGTGTCACCTGCCGGCGACAGCACTGGTCTTGTAGCCAACATTCCGTTTACTCTATGAATTCCTTAACTCTGGCTCAGGCGGATGAGCTTAACATCAATGTAGACGAGCTGGACCCCCCCAACGAATTCTCCGTCTGAACTTTGTAGTCCTTGCACGAATAGGATTGTGTGGTAGGTTGCATTAACTGACCCAAGGAGCGCTCCGAACATGCATACTGACACATCCAATCCGTCCAGGTCTACGCTGGAGTATTTATTGCAGTAGTATTGGTCTTTAGCAATATTTGTCTTGAGCAATGCAGTTTGCAGTGCTGTGGGAAGTGCAAAACACAACAACCAAACAGCAGTTGAAAGTGTAGTTAAATCTTTCCATGAGGCCAACCTTTCTGACGCGCAGCGCGGTGAACACATGTAACCTCCACTGGCCCCGGTGTTGGGCTCCAGGAGGTTTTTGCTCGCATGATGAGATCCGAGAGAGCCGTTGGGAAAGGGAGGGTGCCAAATTATATGTGGCAGGGCTGCGCAACTTTTTTATTAAGGGTTCATGATGAGTTGATAAGCGTAGAAAGTGAGCAAGTGAGAGGAGGGATTTTGGGCAAAAGCCCTCCCTGATCTCACGCCAGATTTTGGCGATTGCGCGTAAGTCCCTCGCTGGCGCTCGGAGGTACGTGGTACTTGTACCGACGGGGCCACGCGAGTGGGACTTATATAAGTTTGCAGAAAGTCCAAGAACTGACAAAAAGTTCAAAGCTGGTTGTGGGGCGCGCCCACCCCATATTTCGACTTTTCAGGCGCGCCCCCGCGCCTGCGCCTGGGCGCGCCCAAACGGCGCGCTTTTCGCGCCACGCCCACCACGTGAATCTGAAAGTCATAAGTAGGGTATCATTTGATTGGATATGAAAGGGGAGACTTTGTGTTTAGCTTTGTATCTTGATTTTGGTTCTTATCATTAACCTGAGATTAGCATGCAAAAAAATAATCAAGATAGTACCAAGTTTTCTATCACAATCCAGAATCACTTGGCCCATGGTAAAGTCTTAAAATGCAGGTTGGTAGGGGTGTTTGAGATTAATTTAGTGGTCAAAGATAGGGATCTTGAACTAATCTTGTTTCTTGGCTATGGTCAGTTTAGAAAATGCTTTTACTAGAGCCGTTTTTACAAATTCTTTGATCTGAATGATGGTGTACAAAAAGTTTCAGTATATCAGTTTTTCTAATGACAAATCTTAACCCAAAAGTAAGATAGAAGGGGAAAACACCAACAACAACAACAGAGATTTTACAGGTTCCACATGCTTTATGAAGATGTTGACTAGGAAAAAGGTCTTATTGGATCTCATGAATTGGAGTATACCTTGAATGATTTGATTTTCCATATAGCCCCTTGATAAAACCTGCTCAGCCAAAGTAATCTAGTTTATCTTCATCAAAAAGCTTTCAGGCACAGGAAGGGTTACATTGAGGAAGCAATATGTTTCAAAGAGCCTTTGAAGGGTTGTATTAAGGAAGGAATATGTTTTAGGGAGAGTACCCTTCTGGTTTCAATGAGGTCCAGGATGGTGGATAATCTTGCTTGGAATCTTCACTTTGACTGCGGGTTTGAGTGTAATTGGTGAGTAGCTGGCTGTGACAGATGTTTAAAATTGATATGCTTGATTTATTAAATTGAGTGAATTGACCATTTCAATTTAGAGTGCTTGAGCTTATCAAAGGGTTCATTGTCTTTCTCAACTATCACTTTTTCTTTATCAACCACTTCTCATTTCTTTTCTAATCATCATCATCATCATCATGTCACCATCATCTTCACCATCTAATTCAATTCATGATAACACTAGTAGTTCTCCTAAACTATCAGCTAGAGGAACTGCTAATCATGCTCCACATCATTCACTCTCAGGTATCTCAGCTGCCAAAGCTGCACTTTCAAGATCAAATACACTTTCTAAACCACGTAGACCTACTTTAATCTCATCTTCTTCTAATGCTACTTCATCATTAGATTCAAAACAAGAAGAAATCATTGAAATCGAACGAAACAAAATTAAAAAACTTAAAACTGATTATGATGCTTTATTATTAGAAGTAGAAGAAAGAGAACAAGAATCGATTAAAGAATGTCAGGTTTGGAAAAATAGAACAGATGAACTTTCAGAACAGATCATTCGATTTGAATCGGATTTAGTTAAATTAAATGAAGTTGAAGAACAATCGATCAGATTTGAAAAAGAATTAGAAAGAAGTAAATCGATGGTAAAAGATTTGGAACATCGTCTTGAATTACAAGTTGGTTTGATTCTATTCCTTTTGATATCATTTTTACTTTGAATTTCCTAATGAGTTCCTTTGGTTTTTCTTTTCTAGAATGATGAATATGATTTAGCTCGTAGTCAATGGGCTGAAACTGAAACCGAATTGAAATCTAGATTAACACATTTAACCAATGAACTCACCAGTCTTCAAAAAGAAGAAGACCAAAGAGCATTGAAATCACCATCATTGAATGAAGCAGAATCAGGCGAGATAGAATTCAATCGATCCCCCACATTCCGTTCACCTACTTTAAATCCAGCTTCAGCTAGTACCGGACCACCATCTCTTTCGACTTTACAACTCGAAGCTGCCTTATCAGAAACCAAAAAAGAAGTCACTAAAGCCGTTTCAGAAGCAGAAGGCTTACGACGAGCTTTAGGAGTGTTGAGAGAACAATTATCAGATGCCGAAAGAGTCAATGAACAGTTAATGGACGATAATGAATCCTATCAATTCTTGGTTGGAGAAAAAACGTTGATGGGAGGATTTGATTTGAAACAATTACTTTCGATTGATCATTTAGAAAATGAAGAAGAAGGTGAAGATAAGAATGAAAAGTTAGCTTCGGGGTCTGAGTTAGCTTCGGTGGCTGAAGAAACTGAAGAAGAGGGTGATGATAGTGTGGATGATATTGAGAAAGCGGTTCTTGAGGCTCAAGGAAATGGATCTCGTACTACTGGTGCTGTGGAAGCTGAAGTCATCAATCCTAGATCCACTCGTCGTCCTTTGAAGAAACCTTTAGATAACTCTGGTTCTAGTGGTGGTGGTGGTGGATTAGATTTGGCAGCGGAATTGGCTCAAGCTGAGCAAAGTGAAGAGATTGAAATGAAGCGAAAAGAAACTGAAGAGAGAAGAAAGAAGAAAGGATCGAATGGTCGTCCAGGTGCAAAAGATAAAGATGCAGGTCAGTAAAGACATCCAAACACTTTTTATGTCTGTCTCTCTTTTCGCATGATGACTGATTTTTTGAACGTTTGTTTTTATAATAGAAATCAAATTCTTGACTGATGCAAACAAAGCCTTAGTACTTTATATTTCTAAGATCTTGGATAGAATTCAAGCCCACGAAGGGTTTGAAAGAGTATTAGCCCATGATTATGAAAAGAAAGGAGGAGGACCGAATAGTCCATCACGAAAACTTCCAGCCCCAGCTCAAACCACAGCCACTACCCCATCACCTGGAGGATTGAATTCATTTTTCAATGTATTAACCAAATCATCCACTGCACCCGATCGAAAAACACTCAACCTTGCCTCAGCAGCTACGACAACTACAGCTAGTAGTAATCCATCTAGAGCATCTTGGCTTCAATTCTTTACTGCAAGTAAATCACCGCCTGCTGCTCCTACTACTAGTACTGCAGGTATCAAACCTTTGAAATTAGGAACCGGAAATGCTGGGTTGAGTAATGGTTGGCAAGGATTAGAGGAAGATGAAGAAGATGTTAAAGAAAGAGAAAGATTAAGAGCCGAATTAAAGTTACATGGGATTGATCGAACAGGAAGTAATAGAACAGAAACGACTCGATCGAATACGATGGATAATACGATCAAAGCTAACCGACGAAGTTCGAATCTGTATGATAAACGAATGTCAGCAGATCAAGTGAGTTCAACGAATGCAGGAGGAGTAGGAGGAGGTGGAGTAGGATTGATCTCACCACCTATCATCTCACCGGCAGGAGTGATGAAAAGATCAGAAGAAAGGGAAAAAGAATCAAAAGTGAATTTGGAAAAAGGAATCGCTTCTGGATTTACGGAGATTGAGATTAGAGGATCTAGATTGAGACCATCTGTTTCGACTAGAGTGTCGGGTACGATGTCACCTACTTCTCCTTCTTTTAATCAAAAGATCTTGGGACATGATTTGGTGGGTTCACCTCCATTGGGAAGTACGAGTGCTGGGAATGGGAATGCTAGTGGAAGTGAGGATGGCATTCTGGCTAAGGCTGCTAAACGGATCACTTTGATGAGGTCTTAAGACGAAGGTTCTTTTTTCTTATACTCTTTCTTTCGGATTTTTTTTACATTGTGATTAGTGGAGAAGGGATGAAAGACAACTGGAGCATGGTTTTGTGATTGGTGTTTCTTTTGTTTTGTTGTATCGTTTTGTTTTCGTGTGTGTGTGTGTGTGGGTGTTTGTTTTGCATGTTTGTGTGCATGTTTGATGCATAGTTTAAGAAAGTTTCTTATGAATGATTTTGATTAAATCACAAAACGAGTTTTTATATATATGACAATGTTTTTTTGGTTTTTTTTTGGTTTATTTTTTATTTTATTTTATTTGATATATTTTACAATATATATGAAGATTGATTTTTTGTTTTATGATGTTTGGTTCATTATGATTGTGAAAAACCAGTTTGCATTTTCTTTTTTGAAGTTTATTTTTTTCTTTTTTCTTTGAAGTTTGAGAAATGGTTTTGATTTGTATAAGGGTTTTTTTTTGTTCAAGTTGAAGTATAATGATAATGATATTGGTTATGTTCTAATTATTTGGTGTGATGATAAGGGTTTTTTTACATGATCATGGTTTTCGTGATGACCTTGATGATGGTTAAAGGTTTGTCTGGGTGTATAGCTTATAACTATACATTGTGATATGTGGTGAATGACAAAGGGAATTCCTTGTAAGTGTTATAAGTCAAGGTTGAGCCAATAACATCATATAAGGTGCAACTTGACAAATATGTCCGCAAGACCAGAATCAGTGAAAGAAAATCCATTGCAATGTTTAGCTTGACCTGCTCATGGGTCACCAGATCACCACACACATCAATTGGAGCAATAGTGTAAGAAAGGTTTCCTTTGCGATATTTTGAGTTCATAATTGATGGCACTCTTGTTGGTATGAGGGATCATTCTGAACCCGCTCAAATCTGGAGACCGGATGGATTGAGAGCGCAAGTGGTCCCAAAGTCAGGATGCTAAACTTTACTTTTTGTAATCTCAAGTTTTACTGTTTTGAACATTGGTTCCAAGTGTAAGCAACTTATATCTGTTTGTGAGGCCTCTCACTTTCAGTCACATGGTTCTTATCAAACTAATCTCTATATACGCTCTCGACTTTTGTTGTTGTTCATAGCGCGAAAAAGATAGCACCCCTTACACTGAAAATTCGGTTGGGTTATAGGTTCTGGATTTCCCTGTCATTGGGTTGATCACTGCTGACTATGCACCGCGCTCCGGATTCGATGAGGACTTTATCTACGATCCACATATCATAACTGCGCGCTGTTTCAGGGATTCCTCCAAGAAGTGAAGCTGTGTCGGTGAGTGTTTACTTGGCATTGCGACGCTTTTGACGAGAGGGGCCGTCCGTCACCCGCGAGCATGACCAGATTGTGCTCCAGTCAGAAGAGGTAGGAAGAGCAGATCATGATCTTTTTGTTCTTGAGCTCAGGATGTCCTCAAAGCATGGCAAAGGTAATCCAGAGTGAGCAATAATTCATGCGCTCGGTCATTTATTACTAACTCTTGACCCAGAAGCGTACAGCTCCACTTCTCTTTTCTGTCCCCGTGCCATTGCTAGGTTCTTATCATGATTTGCTTCCTGAATGCTCATGCCGCTCTGGTTGAAATTTCTCACTGAGCTCTAGAAGCCGCACACCAAATCATATAAATATAGTGGCCTTCATTGAAGCTTGCCTAGTAATTCTCAACCTCAACATTAGTTTTCAAATTCTCTTTATCTATCACATACCATTAATCTTTTATTCTTTAGAATTTTGAATTTTGAACATCTGTGATGAGCTTGACACTATCAGCTATTGTTGTTGCAGCTATTGCTGCTGCAGTTTCACAAGTCGGAGCCGTTACTGTTTACACTCCTGGTAAATTGCTGCTACTTAGAATCATGCCGTGAAGCTCTATGTCTAACTCTTGAAACTTTATCTTTTTTCTCTTGTACCAGCTTCCGTTGTTGCCTGCTTGCCGGTTCAACTGTCGGTACGTTGCCTTAGCTATGTGCTTTTGGATCAATGATCAATTGCTAATACGTAATTTGTGTTTTCCAGTGGGTTGACGGACAAGCTCCTTACTATCTTTCTATTTTACCCGGAGGCCAACCTGAAGCTACTCCGCTACAAGATCTTGGTGAACAAAGCGGAAACAGCTTATCATGGTATGTTTTTATTTATCTTTTTTTACGTTACATCCTTTGACCATTGATACATGTTGATGTGAGGGGATTTCATTTGTCTTAGGAAACCGAATTTTCCTGCTGGAACAGAGGTTACGATTCAAATTCGAGACGGTGTAGGAGTAATCAATTACTCCGGCTTGGTCAAGATTCAAGCAGGTACCACTACTTGCGCTCCTACGAGCGCTGTTCCAACTCATGTTTCAACTCCGTACGTTCTCTTCTCATCTCACAAATTTTCTAGATCTAGATGTTTTGCCTTTTGAAAACAGTCATGCCAATGCGACTGCTCATACCATTGCAACTCCTCCCATCAACAAACAACCTGGTATTCCTCACCCTTCTAATAGCACAGCTGCCGGAGCTCCCGTGGGTGTTCCGGCTAACCACACCACTGGTATCAATGGTACAATTGGATTGAACTCTACTGGTTTGTCGAACTCCACCACAACTCTTGGTGGATTAAGCTCTACTGGCCAGCTCGGAGGCTTCAACTCTACCTCTACTGGTATTACTAGCACTGCTTCTACTTTCAACACGCCTACGACACCCAACACCAAAAGTTTCAATGATGACGACGATGACGAAGATCTCGACAGTGGAGCTTCTCGTACCAGGTTAGAAGTTTCTCACCTAATCGAAGCATAGCGTAATTGGAATTCGAGACGCTGATATTACTTTTATTTTTGCATCAATAGTGTTGGTATCATGGCTGTGTTAGTGGCTGGAGTGGTTACCTTCCTACTCTAAATTACTTTATGTTCTCGAAAGCGTTTTTACAAGGACCTGTCACGTTATCAATTCTTTTTGATTATATCCTGTGTCGTTATCTTGGTGTATGCTTTGTCCATCTTATTTATTTCTTAAGTCTCTCGCTCAAAACAAGCCCTATGCTTGTCTTAATTATTGAATTTTAGAACTGAATTAGTTGGAGATAAACCAATGACCAAGTCTTCTACATATACTCTGATAGTCACAATTTCTGGGTTGTCTCATTGGAACTTGAGAGTCAGACTCACAATAAGAGCAACATCACTTTGCAAATGTGTGCTCGGATCCTCAACCTAGAGCGCCTTGATGGTTGCTGACAGTTAAGTCAAACCTTGTTTGAATTAATGAAATGAAGAACGGTATCAAGCAAAAATCTACTTCTAGCATCACAAATAATTGTTATTAATTGGCTATTAGATTAAACCAAAGGTTTTATTTCGAGAAATTGAATTTGAAGAGAGGGTCTCATGGTTCGAAACCTCAAAGATCCACAAGTTGCGAGATTGACCAGGCTCGACGCCTTCAGGAAGCCAAACTTTTACAGATTAACAGGTTCATCGAGGTTTGTACTGGCAGCCTTTCACCACATATCTCACCTTTGTGCTTCCAGGCTCTGTAACCATATTCTTTGATGGAGTGAATGTTGACATATCAGAGACATACTAACTAGGGCCTCGGTTACAGGTCAAGATTTAAAGAGACTGAAAAATCCAAATTAAAAATGCGTACCAATTCCGCACAACAAAAAAGGAGGTAGCCCTGCCTTATGTTACAGGACGGATTCGAAGGACGTGCTGCAGGGTGTCCTAGAGTCATCACCGATACCACATACGAAGGTCAGCTGATCAAAAGCAGCAGAG